TCGCTCTGCCCGCCCCCCCTGGGAGAGGCGCTGCTGTGCTCCCCCGTGGGAAGCCCTGTATTGCCACCGCGCCCACCCTGCGCCCACCGGGACCCCGGCCCCCCCTGCCGCCCACACCCACCCCAGGGATCCCTCCGGCTGTCAGCACACCGTAAGTGAAGCGTCGGTGAGCTCTGGCCCCACATTTTGGGGTCTGAGCTCCAGCTGGGGTCACGGCTCACCACCCTGCCTCTGCTCGTCTCTCCTAGGGCACCGGGGATGAAGCCGGTAGCGAAGGGAACCCCCTTAGCCTTGGGGCTGAACTCAGTTAAAATCCACTGCCAGAACGAAGCCGTCTACCAGTACCACGTTACCTTCAGGTATTGGCATGGGCAAGGGGGTCCAGGCTCTCCTGCAGCCCCTTGAAGGGTGGGTGTCCCTCGGCAGAGCCCTCCTTGTCCTTCCCTCCCTCTGTCCCGGTAGCCGATGGAGCGGCCAGCGTGGCCACGGTGCCTGCGGGCACAGCCGCCGCAGGGCAGCAAAGCAAACGAGCTCCATCTCTTCCCCCTCGTGGGTTTTTTGGCGTCCTGAGTGGGGTTTCACAGTGGGGAGAGGAGGGTTAAAGGACCGAGGACTTGCCAGCCGTGACAGGTAATGCATCCCCGTCTCTGGCAGCCCCGAGGTGGAGTGTAAGAGCGTGCGCTTTGCCATGCTGAAGCAGCAGCGGGCAGTGACAGGGGACGTGACCGCGTTCGATGGCTCCATCCTCTACCTGCCTATCATGCTCCCCCAGGTAAGGTGTGATGCAGTCTGTGCCAGGGTGCAGGTTGTTCTGGCCCATCTGGGGGCGTGGGAATGCCCCCCCATGTCTCCAGCCCGTGTGCTGGGTAGGAGAGCATCCCTCCCGCCCCGGCTAACGCGCTGTCTTGCCCCACAGCTGGTCAGTCTGAAGACTCAGAGGAAGAGCGACGGGGAGGAGATCACCATCACCATCCAGATAACCAAGGTCCTCGAGCCCAGCTCAGATCTCTGCATCCCCTTTTACAACGTGGTTTTCAGGAGGTGAGGGATGGCAGAGACCCTCCCCGAGCTCCGGGGAAGACACCGTCCTCTTCTTCCTCCTCCTTCTCCTCCTCCTCCCTCCGCACCTGAGCCCATCTTGCTTTTGTTTTCCTTCCCCAGGGTGATGAGAATCTTAGATATGAATCTTGTTGGGAGAAATTTCTTCGAACCTGCCCAGGCCACCGTATTGCAGCATTACAGGTGAGTGCTGGACATGGTTTTCTCCCGCTGCTCGCGCGGGTGCAAGACGGGAATGTCCCTGTTCCCCTGGCGGTAGTGCAAGGCTGGGAATTCGGAAGTCTTTGCCAGGTCAGCTCTTTTGGCCAGCTCTGGTTAGCCTGACCTCAGAGCGCCTGTTTTCTGCAGTGCAATTCAGGGGTTATTAGCTGAAAGCTGGCAGCCAGCTGGGAAATAAATCCTCTGTGTTTTGAGCACTCCTTGGTGAGCGGGATGCCTGCCCGGTTCCTCTGCCAGCGCCGTTCAGGCGGCTCCGGTTTTATCCTGGGCGCCGTTAGGCATCTTTCCTCCTCGTCACAGGCTGCAGATTTGGCCGGGATACTCCGTCAGCATCCGGAAGAAGGACGGCGGCCTCTTCCTCTTGGTTGACCCCATCCACAAAGTCATCCGCAGCGATTCTGTCCTGAATTTCATGTAAGAGAGGGAGGAGAAAACCCAGAGGAGCCCCACAGAGTTTTGGGGATGAGGGTGGTTTTCCAGCAGCCGTGTGTCCGGCGCTGGTCCTCAGCGAGGGCAATGCTGGCTGCGATCACCGGGCTCACGGCCACTAGTGCCGTTTTGCAAAAGGCATTTCATTTTTGGGGTACCCTGAGCCTCTCCTCCTCCCTCCCTCCGTGCTGCAGGCACACCATCTACAAGCAAAGCCTCAGCAGCTTCCAGGATGAGTGCACCAAGCAGCTGGTGGGCAGCGTGGTCATCACCCGCTACAACAACCGCACCTACCGCATCGATGACATCGACTGGAACAAGACCCCGAGGGACAGTTTCACCCTGGCCAGCGGCGAGGAGATCACCTTCGTGGACTACTACAGGTAGGGGACCCGCTGGAGCATCCCTTGGGATGAGCGTCTGTGGGGAAGGGCTGTGACCCGAGGTGGGTGAGCAGGAGCAGGAACATCTCGCCTGATGCCATCTCCCGGCTCTTTGTCCAGCAAAACCTACGGCATCACCATCAGGGAGCTGGACCAGCCACTGCTCATCCACAGGCCCAAGGAAAAACAGACGCCGGAGGGGAAGGTGAGCCAGTCACAGAGATGTGAGGAGGGGAAATTGAGACCCACAGTCTTTTCTTGGCTTCTCCAGCCCCTGTCCCGGCCCGTCGCTGGGAGGGCAGGGGCTTGTGGCCCCCCTCGGGGCGCTGACAGTGCGTGTCCCCCTCCCTGCAGCGTTGGCTGGACATGGTACTGCTCGTGCCGGAGCTCACCTTCATGACTGGGCTCCCCGACCTAAAGAAGGACAGTCGAATGGTGAAGGTCAGAGCGTGTTTGCATTTGATGGTCCCTGCTCACCCGAGACGGTTTGGTGAGCTGAGCCCCCCCCGGCCAGCCGCTGCTGGGGGAACCTCAGAGCCCCCCACGGCACCGGGGGGGTCCCTAACCCACCTCCTCCTCTACCCACCCGCCGCAGGACGTGATGCGGGAGATGCTGCAGAGCCCCAGGCAGCACTACGCGCGTCTCATCAGCCTCCTGCGCAGGATCAAGGACAGCCCAGAGGCTTCGAGGGAACTGATGCGCTGGGGGCTCAGCCTGGACCAAGACATCCACAGGGTAAGGGCTCTGCGCTTCCACCCCCGGGAACGGAGGCAATGGCTGTACCGCGGCGACACCGGAGCTCTTAACGGGTTTCTGCTCCGTTTAGACCCAGGGCCGAGTCCTGCCCCTGGAGAGGATCAACCTACGGCACAGCTCCTTCATGCCCGCCGAGGACCTGAGCTGGAACAAGGAGGTCACGCGAGAAGCCTCCATCTCGGCGGTGAGCCCGCGGCTCGGCCCTTGCAACAACATCCCCTTGTTTGAAAACTGGGATGGGTTTTCTTGGTGCTGGCATCCCGGCTGCCCCGCTTCTCGTCTGAGCTTGTTCGAGCTAAAACCCTTCCCTTATTTATGTTGGCTTTATGCTACAGCCTGTTTTTCCTAAGGAGGTTAGAGGTACGTGGCCGCGGCGTCGGCTTTCCCACCTCCTCCTGCGGTGGCTGAAGGCTTTCGGACTTCAGCACTCGGATGTTACGTGCCCTTTAGGTTCCTCTTGGGCTGCTTTCCCTCTCCCAAATTTCCCGCTGGGCTGCAAGGCTGGGAGCTGCGTGTTTTGGCAGCCGTGGCCCCGAAGCAAGGGTTGTCCTGGCTTCCCTCCTAGATCGCCATGAATTACTGGCTGCTGGTTTACCCCAAGCGCTTGCAGGACCTGGCGAAGGATCTGGTGGCCGCCATGGAGAGCGTCTGCGGCCCCATCGGCATGCACGTCAGCCGTCCCGCCTTGGTGGAGCTGAAGGATGACCGCATCGAGACCTACGCCAAGACCATCCGAAGTGTTTTGGGGAGCGAGGTGAGGAGGCGGGGGGGGGGACTCGGGGAGGGGGATATGTTAGCAAAA